TTTTGATTCTGCCAATCCATGAACATGGTATGTTCTTCCATCTGTTTATGTCTTCCTCTATCTATTTTTTCAGTGTCCTGTAGTTTTCCATGTATAGGTCTTTTACCTCCTTAGTTAAGTTTATTCCTAAATATCTTACTTTTTTTGGTGCGAGGGTAAATGGGATTGCTCTTTTAGTCTCTCTTTCTATAAGTTCATTATTGGTGTACTAGAGGCCCAATGCTGAAAATTCGTGTAAAAGTAGGCTTTTTTCCCCCAGCTGCTGGCACCAGCTTCCCTCTGGCACCTGGGACCAGGGCTTCCCTCCTCTGGCTGCCAGCAGGCACCTGGGAACTCCAGTTGGCTTCCCCTGGGCCATCCACAGGCACATGGGACCCCGGCTGGCTTCCCCTTGGTCACCCACAGGCATCTAGGACCCAGCTGGCTTCCTTTCAGCCCCAGCTTCATCAGGAAGGATGTCCAGAATGACATCTGGAAGATGTCCGGTCTAATTAGCATATTACCCTTTTATTATTATAGATTTCACTTAGCATGATATTCTCAAGGTCCATCCATGTAGTAAATAATGGCAGTGTTTCATCCTTTCTTTTGGTTGAGAGGTATCCTATTGTATATATGTACCACATTCTGTAAAGGACATGTCTTGGCCACTGTGAATAATGCTACAATGAACGTAGGGGTTCATATATCTTTGGGAAGAAGTGTTTTAATGTTTTCGGTTAGGTAGCCAAAAGAGGGATTGCTGGGTCATCTGGTACCTCTATCCTTAATATTTTGAGAAACCTCCATACTATTTTCTGTTGTCACTGTACCAATTTACATTCCCACCAGCAGTGGATCAGGGTGCCTTCTTCTCCACAACCTCTCCAACACTAACTATTACTTGTCTTGTTGATAGTAGCCATTCTAACAGGTATGAGGTAGTATATATTTGTGGTTTTTATATGTTTTTCTTTAATAGGAGGAAGAAAGGGAGAGAGAAACATTGATGTTAAAGAGATACATCAATTGGTTGCCTCCTGCACAAACCCCAACCAGGCCATGGATTAATCCTATAACAGAGATACTTGCCTTTGACTGAGAATCAAACCTGTAACCCTTTGTTCTTTGGGTCAATGCTCTAACCACTGAGAAACACCTTGAAAGGAACTGTGGGCCACAAGGCTGTGGTGGGCACAGGGGAGGGTCTTGGCCCATCCTCTGAGCCCCTGCCCAGCCCCTCCTGCCACGGTCCAGGTCTCCTGTCTGCCTGCAGCCCTGCTCCCACTGCCACCGCTTACACCCACTGACAGCATGGAGTGATTGGGGTTGTCATCACCAGGGCCAATGCTATTAGCAGGTGTGAGCTGCGGCTGTTGCCCTGATCACCCCTCAGGAGCAGGGACAGGTGGAGAAGCCCTCAGGGGCAATAGGGGCTGGCAGCCACCACTTGCACCTGCTGATGGCACCGAGTGATTGGGACTTGCACCAGACACTGGCAGCGGGTGCGAGCAGAGCTGGCACCAGCAGCAGGTGCAAGCACCGGTCAGGACTGTGGGGTGCGGGAGCAAAGAATTTGCAGTAACCACCAGAGGCTTGCTCCAGTGACAGCGACTGGTGCCCAGCCTTGGATTGGTGCCCCTGCTCACCTGCTCCACCAACCCGCCACAGCCAATGCCCGCCATGTTCCGCGTGTCCCCCCTGGCGGTCAGTGCACATCATAGTGACCGACTGTTCAGTTGTTCCACAGTTCAGTCTATTTGCATATTAGCCTTTTATTATATAAGATTTTTAAATATTGCATATACAAAGAACATAGTACAAAAGTGTTCGAAGTATAAAATTTTTAAATCACATAAAAGATAATGAGAATCACAAGGCATTAAGAATAGTAAAATAAATTAACTATGAACACTAACTAAAGCATTCTTATAACCAAATAGCAAAATTTATTTTGTACTGAGTGCTAAGGTTAAAGATTAAAGGCAGTATTTGCATCCCAATCATAACAGGTAGTATGCACACTCCGTCTTTGTATCTAATTTTAAGAAAAATTGAAGTTCAGTTTCCAAATACAGTCCACATTATTACACAGCTGACTCTACTAGTATAAAGAGTCCCATAAAATTAAGATCTAAGACTAGTTTGTGAGTCCTCTGCTAACTTTTTGGCATTATGCATTTTCTCTCATTAATTCACTGATCAGATTTAACATTCCATATGCTTCCTCTAGCCACGTACCCTGAACTTGACTTGGATAGCCATAATTATCCTACCAAAAATTATTTTAAGACAATGCTTTCATTGGCTCTGCCACATTTTTGGTCTTTCCCAAGCCAGGTTCATTCCCTATAATATATTTCAAATCACAGCTTATTCATCATTCCTCTCTTCATTCCAAATCATTTTCTTTCTCTTCAACTCCTTTATTTTATTCATAAACTAGTCAATTTCAGCTTTTCATCACAAGCCTGGGAAACTCAACTTAGAACGTTTTATATGATAGCATTAAAGTACCTCAGGCTTCAGTCTGTAATTATAATTACCTGCCTATTCAGAAATCATTAAATAACCTCAAATTCAAAGTCATATACATCATATCTGATTGTCACTCCATCAGATTAAACTTTTGACTATATAAGCTGAATTCTTGTTGACAGAATTAAATTGAAATTTAACTTGTAGCTGCACCAGAAATACATTTACATATGCTAGCAAATTTACTTTTTCAGTGATAAATTTTCAGAACCTAACTTGAGAATGTGAACCTAATCAATGTATTTGCACACACAATTTCCTGTGGAAAACAATCGACAAATTTAGCAAGCATGCAATATCATCAAGTTACAAACTTTCCTAATCCTATGTCTATGGGGGAAAAACTTCACAAAAAGTAAACTTTGAATGGAGAAAACATAAAGAGAAACAAATCAATATATGATGTATGTGTTCAGGAGAAAACTATATTAACTATGATATGTATAATATCAACTCCTAAAATATATTAGGCCACCATCAAAAGTTTATAGAAACTTAAAGAAAAAAATGTCGTGCATTAATAAGGACATTTTACAAAAATATGAGTTCTGGTGCTTGGAAATATACAAACAAAATGAGCTTAGGTCTCAATAATGATTACGTACTTAATACATTCTCTGGTAATTTGTCATTTAAATTTTAGCATACAAATAAAATTAATTCAAAAATATAAACTGTATTGGAAAATATAACTAGTTAATAAGCTTCTATATCACCTCCAAAAGTTCATACAAATTTATAAATAAAATATTGAACATATACATAGTTTTGTCTTTGGAACATCAGTAAGTAAATTACTTGGAAAGAAAATGTATGTATGATTTATTAAATACAGTTTTACATTAAAATTGCACACTGCATTTTTATTTTAATTTAATATAGAATTTAAGGCATGTCTACTTAGGATCAAAATAACCATCTTTTTTTCAACTAAATAAAAATATACACCAAAAAACTATAAATCTCATTATTTGAAGTCAAAATTATCCCCACAAAATGCTTAAACAAGTAACTTCTGTGACAGATAATTCATACTATTTTATTAAACTTTTTGAGACTTACACTTAATATTTCAGTTTTGTATAGTTCTACCTCATATAAAATAGAAAAATCTCTCTACCAGTGTTAGTTTTATATATTTTTTTTAGAAATTAAATTTAAGCTTAGCAGACAAGAGATAACAGAAAAGCTCAGAAAATGATTTAAACACACACACACACAACCCCTAGCCGGTTAGGCTCAGTGGATAGAGCATCAGTCCAAGGACTGAAGGGTCCCAGGTTCAATTTTGGTCAAGTGAACATACTTTGGTTGCAGGCTTGATCTCCGGCCCTGGTCAGGGCATGTGCAGGAGGCAACCAATCAGTGTGTCTCTCTCACTTTGATGTTTCATTCTCTCTGTATCTCCCCCTCCCTTCCACTCTCTCTAAAAATCAATGGAAAGACATTGATTGGGTGAGGATGAACAAAAAACAAACAAATAAAAAACCCAAGTACCTCTTATCAAAAACTCCCTTCTTCCACTAGATCTTACATAAGCACTTATCAAAGATTCTGGTCAACCTATACACACAACAATCAATCATTTTGAATGACCTTAAAGGAAAGATGCGTTCAACAGGTGCATTCCTTTGGGTGGGAGGCTAATTTATTTTTTACTTTCAATGTACTTATCCTGCTCATCAAGACAAATATTTCCTGAGGAAACATCCGTCAGTGGTGTAATGAAATTCTCATCTTCAAACTTGTTTTACTTTATTTAAGTATTTAGTAGATATAAAAAAATTAAGATAGACCTAGTGTAATATCCTTGATTATGTCTTCTTTTAACATTTCATGAAGAATCTTTGAAGAAATAAATATTAGAAACAATTGAATACAAAATACTGTAGGTGAATATCCCCCATAATTGAAAAGAGCTCTTCTTACTACAGAACAAAATGCATCAAAGTTAAAAACTAAAATACTTTATTAAAATGGTAGCACTATTGAGAACTGAACATATGGAGAGTATATTGGGGATTGTATCTTCAAAAAATACATTTAAATTCACTTTAGAGAACTCACTAAAAGGGGGCTTCAGGAGGACATCTGTGAAACCCTCTTAGAAGAATTGAATGTGGAATGAAAGAGGTGTAAGCCTCTAAACTGGAAGATATCACATATGTCTTGAAACAAAATTATTGCAATAAAAATTAGTGGTTTTAATATTAGCCTTAATTCAAAATTATAATGATTGATTTAATTACATATATTGTCAGTGAAATAACTATCTATGGAAAGCTGTAACAGAACTTAAAGGAGAGAAGCAGTAGGAATTTATAATCTGATATTAATTTCTCATTTTTTAAACAGCCAATTAGAATAAATGATGGGTGAGTGTTAACTGACCATTCTGTAGAAATGGGTAAGTTTCTTGTTTTGGCCTAAGGATTATTGTCAAACAGGATGCAAGCAGAGCCTTTAAAAGAGCTCATACATTGGGATTTACACTTTCTTTTATTTTTTTGAAACCATCATTTAGAGAAGTCTGGACTAGTTGTGTAATATGTGAGACCACATGATCAGACAATAGCTGTCAAACCTGAGTAGCCCTATGTCAACCACCCACAATCAAGTCACTGTCTCATAGCAGCCACATGAGTCATATCAAGTTATCAGAGGACCATCCAGGCTGAGCCTAACCCAAATTGCTGACCCACAGAATAATAAGCATCTACATTAGAGAGATTTATTATGCAACAATAGATTGCTCAAATCTACACTAATAAAAGAGAAACATGGTAATTGGCATACAACCGCTACCCTTTTCATTGGCTAATCAGCGAGATATGCAAATTAACTGTCAGCCAAGATGGCAGCCAGCAGCCAGGCAGCTTGAAACTAACATGAGGCTTGCTTGCCTCAGTGACGGAGGAAACCAACGTTCCCTGACTGCTGCTGCAGACCTCTGAGCCTGCAGTTTAAGAAACTCTGTAACAAATACCAACGGACTTCGGTCAGCAAATTCGCAACATTGTAAGCAAAGGCCAGAAACCTATTTTCAGCAGCGGAGGCCTAAGAGCTGGAGCTAAGCCTCAAAGCTAAAGCTGGCCCAGAATAAATAAAAGAAAGAAAGAAAGAAAAAAAGGAGCAGTTGGGAGCTTCAGTCACCCCCAGACTGAAAACAGCCCTCAGCTCCTCACCTAGAC